GGACCAGGCTCTCACATCACCAAGCGCGAAGCGCCGTGAGATATTCGGCGAGTCGCATGAAGGGTGCGCTGCATCCTGCTAAGGGTTTTCGGCATCTTGTGCTTACTTCCTTGCGTACGGATGACAGCTGCGTATGAATTAATTTACTTTCTGGTGCTTTCACTTCCAGAGACAGTTGTAAGCACTGTGTAACTGCCTCGAGGGTGCTTGACCATTTCAACACAACGTGGTGCGATCATCCCCCTTGCGCGGAGCGAGTGTTCTCCACCCCGCACAACATGATCTACTCGACCACCATTATGGTTACCGCCAAAAAAAAAACGGAGGTAAAAAAAAAAACGGTAACCTGGTTGCCGAGTTCACGAAGTGAATTGGCTTGTTTTACAACGTCTTTGCCAAGAGACGAAAACCCAATTCCGATGGCAAAACCGGGGGGGGCGGCTTGTTTAACAACGTCGTTGCCAAGCGACGAAAACCCAACCCCGATGGTAAACACCGGGGGGGACGGGGGGAGAGGGGGAAAGAGCGAGAGAGCTGTGGGGTTTGTTTCTTATTCGACACGCTTCCCCGTAAACTCTCGTTTCTTATGTAGTAGGGCAGCGGTCGCCGCCGTGTTTCTTATTGAGACATTCCTTATTGTGTGACCCAGATTGATCTATGTTTCTTAACCCTATTTACTTAATTTTCGTGAAAAAATGAGCCTCAATCTTAACAAAATATTTCTCAACTGCGGGCTCCAACTGTACAACTAACTGTTGTTGTTTGGACCGTCTCGCTGCACACAACCGGCCGCTGACTGTTGACATCGCACATGTTGGATAGCAACCTCCACAGCAACCCAATCAGCGCGAAAAGTTGGCACGCTAACAGAATCATTGCAATACAGCTATTTCCCTGCAGCGGGCAGTGGGCAATGCGTGTAAGTGCCGCACGGCCAGTGTGCCACGTGCGGTCCGGTCACGGGTAACGCCAGCACGAGTTCAGCTCATCACGGGGGGTGCAAAAGGGGCGCAGTGCAACTCGGGTATTTCGATTCAGCAAAAAACTCAATTTGCACTTGTTTTTTGCTGCACCAAATGTCGACGTCCCGCTTTTCTGGGCAGAGAAAGACTCATCGTGTTTTGTCCTGTTGACCAATCAGCGCTTTGGCCCCCGGCATCCCCCCGAAATTTATTTTTTGCAGGGCCTCAATTTAGGTGACAAATATAAACGTTGAAACAGGCCCTGAGATCGCTGATGCACTACATATATATAGTCTACTGAGGATATCTTTCATTTTTTTCTGCAGCAAGGTAGACAAATAGCAACGACTGACGACGATTCGAAATTGTCTGAAACGTGACATGTCTCTGCTGCATTTCCCTATGTTCGTGACTCTCACTCTTCTCTGCACCATGTTGCACCGCTGAACTTTTTGCGGAATACGGAAAACATGATACTGCTGTCTGGTTGATTACCTCGATGATTTGACCGTTCGTAGCGCCCCGCTTTCGAGCAATAGCCTCTTCAGCAGAGCCCATCAAGGAGGGGTTACAGTAGGCCGAGCTCAAGCTGCATAAAAAGCATTCGTCTTTTCGAATATGTTGTCTCCACCTTCCACATAGAGTACCGTGCCGGTGTCAACCCGACCGCGAAAGGTAGGCAAACGAGGCAAACCACCATCATGTCCAAATGCTGAAAAGACCGAAGATGCTGAAACGGTGAGTCCGTATGGCGGCATCTCGTCTGTGGACAACACAATGAGTAGTCGAAGCGCCTGGATGGAGGCAGGCGCACAACCAACACGCTAGGCATTTCTGTGGTGCCCTGCTGTGAGCTGTGGAGAGCGGGCGCTGGATTAATCAACCCGGCCGAGTCAAATGTTCTTATTCACAGCGCATTCGGCAACAATGCTTTTGGTAGATGGTTGACCAGCCTTCACACCCGCTGCTGCCTCGGAGTACAGACGATCTTTCGAAATACATCCCAACAATCCGACGACATCCAGGCGGAATCACCGAAGGTACCCGCAGACCCTGGCGTCAGGGTTAGGGCTAGCGTTAGCCTCCATATCAAAAACTCGACAGCAGTGTAGATAGTACTAAATATTCACGAGAGAATTGAGCTTCTGTACCCTCCCTGGCAGATGCACCTACAGTATCCCCACATTCGTTACATGGATAGGGTCGCATTATACCGCGAGTGCGAGTTGTCGTATCCCCTGTCCCATTGCTCGGCTGCTCCACGTCCAAGAGGGTGCGAACTTCGACGGAGGCCAGAGCTCGTGCCGAGATACTTCTAAGACCACTCCTTGTGGCATTGGAAGCCTCTTGGTAGGGTAGAAGTCTAGCTATGGCTTGTCGCTCTAGCGGGATGCGATCACTCGAAAAAGTTACGATACATGCCGTCCAGCATGTGCACGCACACATTTTCTATTCCTGTGGACTCGCGCAGCCTTCCCCCAAAACACCAAAACAAATCACCAAAACGTCTTCAATACCCTGCTCGGCATCCTCTGTTGTGGCACTGATGGGATCGCGGTCGAAGGAGCGGACCCTCCATTGCCCGTTTTTGAAGCTGCCGCCGCTTCTATCTTTGCCGAATTGTCTTGTTGGTCCATCGCACGGGGTCTCAACTTGCGATGTTGATTCGGAGGTGGCTCAGAGACGGAGGCTTTTTCTCGTGGCCTGGTGGTTTTCGAACCGTTGGTAGCGACCTCGTCCAAATGTTCTGTTGCTGTCGATTCGACCCTGGATCGTCCTTCCGATTGGTCTTGTCCACCGCTAGAACCATCGCTGTGACGTCTTCGGCGACGAAGCGAGCTACCACGCCTTCTAGCCTTACCCTTTCCACTCGAACTGGACTTCTGAATCGCTGGTTTTGTGACCATCCCTGTTGCCGAGCCGACTCTTGAATCTCGTTCCGCCAACTCGTGCTTCTCATCCTCGAAAGTTAAGCTACTCCCTCGACGCTCTCGTGCGAAGCAGTCTTCGACGTCCTGCGCCCCTCCCTCTTGTGGCTGATGGCATTCAACCCCTCCGGTCCTGCCATCTGCACGCAGCCCTACCGCCCCTTCATTCATCGGGGTGGCGGATTCTCCAAGAACCCTGGTTGTACGTTGGAAACTGCTGTTAGCTTCTACGGTCGCACCCCGCCAGGGATTCAGTAGGCTCTCGTGTCGCCTCGTCCCTGTCCGATGCACGGCTTTCCTGGACGTAGTCCTAACCGGCGGTGGGGGGATGTTGCTCCTATCATCCCATAGGTGTCTGGTCCTGAAGTTGTGCACAAACGGTACTTCGCCAGACAAGAGTACCACCTCACCGCCGGGTGCTTTGGCGGACATTGAGCTCTCAGCGCGCTCACGCTCCTCTTCACCCCAGCAGCCCCACTGTTGCAGGAGCTCGCAAATCGCCTTCTTTTGGTCGTCCGAAACGGCGTCTTCAAACGCATAACCTACCCCCAAGCCTGACCCATCTTGAATTGCAGGAGCTGTCATAAGGTGTAAGTGGATATAAGACGTTGGTTGTCGATATGGGTATGCATCAGCAAGATTGTTGACTGTACGGTGGCTGTGCCAAGATTAAAAATCGAACTAAGTTGGGCGCACTGTTTGAATAACGGCACACCGCTGGTAATGCTAGCTGACCAAGGGTTACTTCGGGCGGTGGCGGAGCAATGAACTCTTACGCATGCATGGAACACGATACAAAAACGCTCGACCAAACCCACGTAGTTGTAGTTGAAGAAATAGTTGTTCGAGGCTGGAGCAAACCAAAGAATCTTTCGCAGCAAACTCAGGAGGTGACTCGGTACTTGCGTGTCAAGGCGGACCAGCTAGGCGCAAAAGACGTTTCACCATCTCACATGCACCAACGTCCAAGAGGAAGGCGGTGACGTCGACAAACGCGTTCATGGCCGCGTTAAACAGAGCTGTACGTCCTGCGGTGTTTCTTGCATCAACATTCAAGGGCACAGAGTCTTCTCGTTGCAGCCATGCTCCCGTTAGCAGCACCTCGACGCACGTTATGTGACCGTGTGCGGCGGCAACATGCAGCAAGGAGTTGCCGCTGTGGTCGACTATGGTACAGGGGTCCACTCCCTCGCCATCAAGTAGTTCCTGGAGTGAGGACATGTTTTCCGGAATCCCCCAGGAAGGGTTGGTTGTAAATTGTGAGGTGCTGCGCATAACAGCCTGGAGGGATGAAGAGCCCTTAGCTTGCCTTGCGCAACGACGTGGAACATTCTACTGAAATCCGTAGGGTTTGGCAACATATCAATTGGTAAACCTCAAAGCGTCGTAGTTTCATTGACAAACAGACGCTGTGGGCACGTCAGGAGAATTTGCGTTAGTAGGGCCCATTTACCAGCCCTGTGCGTTGAATGTAACAACGACTCGTTGCTCCTCACCAATGCACACCCAGGGGATCTATAAGCCGATCTACTATTGTAGAGAAATTGAAGGAAGGCAACGAAAGGCCAACAAGCATTGGATCGAAACACGAAGGTCAACGTCACGTTGTTGCGGTATCAAGATGCCCTTCGAACATTGTACATAGCATAGCACCAACATCGACTCGACTTGTTTGCCCGGAAACAAAGGCGGGTGCTCAAGGTGGCGACTAGAGTTTTTTCGAGTATAGTTCCGGCCGTATTGAGAACAGGAGGAGGAGGAGGAGGAGGAGGAGGACGAGGAAGAGGAGGAGGAGGAGGAGGACGAGGAAGAGGAGGAGGAGGAGGAGGACGAGGAAGAGGAGGAGGAGGAGGAGGACGAGGAAGAGGAGGAGGAGGAGGAGGACGAGGAAGAGGAGGAGGAGGAGGAGGACGAGGAAGAGGAGGAGGAGGAGGAGGACGAGGAAGAGGAGGAGGAGGAGGAGGAGGAAGAGGAGGAGGAGGAGGAGGAGGAAGAGGAGGCGACAAACGCTTACAACTGTGGCGGAACGCACGGATGTCTCATACATGTCTACGGGCCACAAGAGATTCATTCACTCCGGTGCTTGGAAGGAGGGGAAATATATTTCGTGCGTGATTGGGAAGGTGCGGAGACATGCAAGTTCTTACGATAAGTCGCCAAACACAACCTACCATAGCAAGCATAATTTTCTTTTCTCTTGTCAAAACCCTCGTGGCCCACCTTGGCAGCCGACGAGTCGCCGTGCTTTATCGCGTACGAAAGGGCATCGGTTGGCTGTAGTCTACACTCTAGCAGCATGTAGCGCAGCAGCGCTGCATCACACGCTGCTGCCGCATCAATGACCGTGAGCCCGAACCGGTCGGTTTTTGTCAGCGGCGCCCCCCTTTCAATCATTTCATGCACGGGTTCCGCAAGCGATACGCCCGCTGGACCGGTGACGCCTTTTGCTTTCTTCGAGCTGGCCTTGGCCTTCTGGCGTAATGGGAGGGACAAAACGGGCTATGGGTTTGAGTCGCCGGTCATTGATATGAGTAGATTGAGCATCGAGGAACGAGGTGGACTTTTGGGCATGCATGTTACTGGAGGTTTCACAGAACCGTTCAAGCTCCTGTGCCTAAGCTCGGGAGAGTTGGTTAGGGATGAGGCAGCCCTACATGTCACCAGTCGCATTGTTCAACCAACCTGTAGCGATTCGACTTCCAAGTTGGAGCGACAGCAAACCTGTGAGGAGGACAGCAGGACATGAAGAGGGGTTTGACCTTTCTCGCCGTCCACAAGAGCGGGATTCGCCCCTGCCCTCAAAAGCTCAATGATTGCCCTGCGTGCGGTTGTGGGTGGGATAGGGAAGACATTGCCATAAAAAAAAACGCCGAACAGCGTGTTCAGCAAGACACCTTGCTATTGGCAATATCGGCTGCGAACACAATGCATCCGATTTCGGCTGTTGCTTGCGCTTTCACGGTGTGACATTGCGTTGAATCAGTGTACCTGTTCCGCGCTGATGTTCGTTCGAAGCGCATGCGGAATGTGTGCAATACCGGTGTTGAATGACTTCTAAGTCCAAACGAAGTGACCTTGTTTGGAACCGCAGGTTGTTGCCTTCCTCCGTAATTTCCTCTTCGCTAGAGATGGGCGGGGGGGGGGG